GTGGAAACCTCAGCGGTGGACACACAGGCGGGGGCACCAGCAGATGGAGCGGTGATCGAGCCCTATCCTGGGGTATCCGAAGTGCTCATGGAGGTACCTGCACCAAGTGCAACACCCACAGCTCCCTAACACCCACCAGTCCGTGGAAAGACCAGTCACCAGTCTCCTGACACACCACCCGGTGCGTTTGTTCTGGCAGTTGGCAAACACACATTTCGCACAACACCTGCAATGCCCAAGCAACGCGACCTACAGGTCCAGTGGGCCAATGAGGCTGCAGCGCTTGAGCAGCACCAACTGACGGCAAGGATTGCAGCATGCAGTCACAGTAGTTCGCTAGACCGCAAGATCACCATGTGCTTGTAAGTCTCAGTCATAGTTAAACACGGACAATGAGCTTAACCCATGCCCTTACCCATTCAGTCCACCAAGACCAACACCGCAACTTAACCCCAACGCCACGCCCTTCAATCCCAACTTCATTCCCAGCACACCTCCGGCCAAGTGCCAGGAGCTTAGAACCATATTCTTAAATGTAAATCATCTAGTTCATAAAATTGATGACATTGTTGACCTCATTACCTTGCATGACCTAGATATTGTATTCCTAACGGAAACCTTCCTGACCCCCGCTATACCAGACTCAATCCTTAGCATGCCTGACTTCACGCTGCACCGCAAAGACAGACCTGGTCATGGTGGAGGCGTTGCTGCGTATGTGCGAAGTACTCTATGCGCAAGCCGAGAAGAGGCCCCCACCAATCATAGCCTTGAGCTCTTGTTTATGAAAGTAAAGGGCCGTCACACGAGTGTCCGATTTGGAAAAGTGTATCGACCTCCCAGTGCCCCTGTTTCCTTCTGGGAAGACCTTGACAAGGCAATTGAGGACTCACTTGCAACTAGTCGACATGTCCCCATGGTCCTTGTGGGTGACTTCAATGTTAATATCTTGTCGCGCGACTCCGCACAGCTCCCGCACCGCGAGCACTTCTGCCACAGTCACGGTCTTAGCAACATGGTTCACGACGTTACTCGCATAGGAACAAACGGATCACACACATCTCTTGATCTGGTTCTGGCAGAAGATGGCATCATTACATCATGCACTGTTATTCCAATGGGTATCAGTGATCACTTCCCGGTACTAGCGACTGTTCCTCTCGCAGCAATGGCAGCGGCAGACAGTCCCACTATGCGAATCGGCCGTGACTTCAGGAAGTCGAACATGCACGAAATTTCCCAAGCCCTCGCCAGCTCCGGACTTGAGGACTTCTCCTCAGCAATGACACTTGAGAGAATGTGGGAGCAGTGGTTCCAAAGGCTCCTCCTCGCTCTTGATCGATTTGCACCTGTGCGAAAGTGCCACGTCAAGACTAGTCACCAAATATCGACACCATGGAAGACTCCCGCATATTACTCCGCTATCCGCTCTCGGGATCGAGCCCATCGCCGGTGGCGAATCAGTCCATTAGATCAACAGCTCTGTCAGGAGTTTTAACTAGCCCGTTCGACCGCAAAGAAACTCTCTCTCTCGCTCTGTCTCTCTTTCTCTCTCTCGCTCTGTCTCTCTCTCTCTCTCTCTCTCTCTCTCTCTATCTATCTCGGGAGTCGGGACCATGGAAGACTCCCGCATATTACTCCGCTATCCGCTCTCGGGATCGAGCCCATTGCTGGTGGCGAATCAGTCCATTAGATCAACAGCTCTGTCAGGAGTTTTAACTAGCCCGTTCGAGCGCAAAGAAACTCTCTCTCTCTCTCTCTTTCTCTCTCTCTCTCTCTCTCTCTCTCTCTCTCTCTCTCTATGTCTCTCTCTCTCTCTCTTTCTATCTCTATCTCTCTATCTCTCTCTCTCTCTCTCTCTCTCTCTCAAAGCTGAAGGCCAGCCATTACCATCAACTGCTGAACCCCTGCAGGTCGAATCCGCGAAAGACTTGGCAAGTGATTAACGACCTTAGTGGTCAGAAGAAGAAGGACACACCGCCGTTGCCACCTATTGGCAGCTTGAGTCAGCAGTTCGGAGATGTCGTTACAGATCCCACTCGGCCAGCTCGCCTTGTGCCACCCGGTGGTCCACACCTGGAAAGGTCACTGACTTGATTCGAGCCCGCCACCTGTGAAGAGGTGTTTAAACTTCTGCAGGCTATTGACGACCGGAAAGCAACCGGCAGTGATGGAGTCCCATGCAGCATACTGAAACACTGCGCCCGTGCTCTAGCTCCTTCTCTAACCATCCTCATCAATGCCTCAATGGCCGAGGGGCGAGTACCCAGCTCTCTTAAAAGCTAGCAAATGTACGTCCTCTTTTCAAATCCGGTGACCCATCTATCCCAAAGAACTATAGGCCGATCTCGCTGCTCCCAGTAGAGTCAAAGATCATGGAGAAGATCGGCCTCAAGTGGCTCTGGCAGTTTGTCCACGCGGAACATCTACTTCCCGATAACCAGTTCGCCTTCCGTCCTCACCACTCGACGGAGGACGCCATCACCGTTGCCGTCGATAGCCTTCTCACTGCCACAGACCACAGCCAGCACTGTGGCCTTGTCTTAGTGGACATGAGCAAGGCCTTTGACAAGTTGGTATCGGTTCAGTTGCCCTCGATTGGTTCGTGGACTACCTCAGTGGCAGACGCCAGAGAGTAGCCTTAGCCGACCGGGAAGTCTCTGATACGACCAGCTGCACGTGCGGTGTTCCACAGGGCAGTGTATTGGAGCCTGTACTCTTCTCCCTTTACACAAGGAATGTAGTGCAGTGTGCGTCACCAGCCCTGGTTCTGATGTTTGCTGACGATATCATGATCTACACCAGCAGTTCTGATGTAGCTACCATCAACCGTGTCCTCTCCATTGCAGTATCCGGAGTTGCAACATTTCTGGCGGACAAGGGATTAATCCTCAACGCGCAGAAAACCCAGGTTCTGGGCATCTCCGGTGGAAGGCGGAACAGACTAGAGCTTGAAGTTACATGTCGTGGTACTCCCCTGGCTCAAACCAGCACAGCCAAATACCTTGGTATTTGTCTGGACGAGCGCTTGAGCTGGGCAGGTCAAGTGGCTGCTGTAGTGAAGAAGGTGTCCTACAAACTCCGAGTCTTGCGCCACATCAGAGCAGACATCACCCGTGCGCAGTCCCTCCTTTACTACACAGCTCTTATCCTACCTGACCTACTCTACGCCTTGAACGCCTACTTTGCCAGCCTCTCAGCAA